GAGTATGAGTGTTTTGCCTCATATGTGTCTGTGTGCCACATTCATACCTGGTGTTAGGAGGCCAGAAGAGGGCATTAGATCTCCTGAGACTAGAGTAAGCTGCCATGTAGATGCTGGGAATTGAACCTGGGTCCTCTGGAAGAGTGCCTAGCACTCTTAACCATTAGCCATATCTCTGGCCCCTGAACACTCTCATAAAGAGTGTACCTCACAATGGAGTGGGATTTCTCCCAGGGAAGCAAGGCTGCTCCCAGAGCCTAACACTCCTCAGTGTCACCGGAAAAGGAAAGGTCACAGGATCATTTCACCTGGTGTAGAAAGAGTAAGCACAAATTCAACATTCATTCAAGATGGACGCTCTCAAGAAATAGAAATAGAAGCCGAGTGTGGCGGTGCACACCTTTAGTCTCAGCACTAGGGTGCTGGGGTTCTCTTTCTGTATATATGTTTCTCTTATTGGCTGATGAATAAAACACTGGGTGGCTAGTGGCCAGGCAGGAAGATAGGCAGAGGAGAATTCTGGGAAGTGTAGGCAGACAGGATTCACCTTGTGAGTCTGGGAAGAAAGGACGAGGCAGGCGGTCTCTGGTAAGATAAGACCACGTGGAAATACTAAAATTAATAGAAATGGGTTATAATTAAGACAGAGATAGCCAATAAGAAGCCCAAGCCATTGGCCAACAGTTTCATAATTAATACAGCATCTGTGTGCTTATTTGGGGTTGAGGTGGTTTCGGAACCAGGCTGGACAAGAACCTCTCACAATACTAGGGAGGCAGAGGCAGGAGGATATCTGAGTTCAAGGCTAGCCTGGTCTAAAGAGCCAGGTCCAGATACACAGAGAAACCCTGTCTCGAATGAAAGAAAAAAGAAACAGAAATGGAGGTGTGGGAGAGATGGCTCAGCTTTTAGGAGCACATGCTACTTTTCCAGGATTCATGTCAGGCAGCTGGCAGCTGACCAGCTCCAGGGGATCCAACGCCTCCGGCCTCTGTGGGTACCTGAATTCATGTGCGCATGCATACCCCTATATCCACATAATTAAAATGAAATGAATCTTTCTTTAGAAAAAGTAGATGTTTGGTTATAAACATGTTCAATAGACTTACAGTGAATATCACACACTGGTGAAAAACTTGATCTCTTCCTCCTCCGATCCCGGACGGGGCATGGTATTCAGTAACATACTGTGTATTCTGGACAGTGCAATAATGCAAGGAAGGGAAACAAAAGTCATACAGAACAGAAATGAAGAACAGAAACAGTCCTGATTTTCAGATTTCAGAAAAGCCAGTGTAGAAAATCCCTTGGAATCTACCACATAAATAAATAAATAAATAAATAAATAAATAAATAAATAAATCTAGAATAACTGGGTACACCAAGGTCACAGGGTTGTATTTCTATACTCCAGAAAGGAACACAGAACCACCGCAGTTAAAATGTCATACCAGGTACAATCACACATAATGCTTACCTGCAAGGCTATCAAACATACACATGTATGATGTGTGTGATACTGATGACGAGGCTTTCCACATGCTTGGTCATCAGCCTCCTTGGTCATCATTGATTAATGATGTTAATCTATGAAAATATGCATCACACTCATAGACGGGAAGAGCTGAAACAGTAAAAATGCCGATTCCACTTTGATTAGCAGCATTTTCTATCCACATACTCAACATTCATCTAATTTAGAAGTCAGGGGAACTAGACTCAGAGAAAAGGCATAATGAAATACCTACAAGCCATCTACCTAGTTAGGGACAAAGGCTTACTTAATAGCAGCAGTGACCAAAGCATCATGACTAAGGCTGGAGGTGGTAACAGGGAGGAGCCCTTGCTGGGTGAGCATGAGGACACAAATTTAGATCCTTAGAACTAACAGGAAAAAGGCAGGTGAGGCTGTTCCTGCCTGTGACTCTAGCAGTTTGGAGGGCAGAGAAAGGATGGATGGATGTTTGGGGCTTGCTGGTCATCAGCTTAGCCCAAACAATGAAGGACCCTGTCTCAAGGGAATAAAGCAGAGAGTGACAGAGGAGGAGGAGACCTGGAGTCCTCTCTCCTCTGTGTGCACCTGCACAGACAAATACACATACTGCGTGAGAGCTTACGAGCATACACGCATGTGTATGAGAGAGAGAGAGAGAGAGAGAGAGAGAGAGAGAGAGAGAGAGCAAAAGACAGAAAATAGATGTATCAAAAAATTCAACATAGCAATCTCTAAGTTACACAGACAGAATTAGATATAACAAAAGAGTTCAGTCATCAGAACCTCTAAATTACACAAACACACACACTCCTTTTTAAAAGAACTCAAAATTGATCATAGACTGATGCAAGACTATAAAAGTATTTATTGTTTTAAAAACAAAAACAAAATCCAGGGTTTAGGTCCAGGCTAGTCCTGAGATCAAACATATACTCCATTAAATGATAATTGATAAATAGGACTTTATAAAATTGAAAACATTTTCCTGGACTTTTAGAAGACAAGAAAGCATAGATGAAGAGGAATGAGTTTCAAATATTTAATATGTCAGTCTAGGAAAGAACCACCAGATCTCGTTAATGGAGAACTAAACAATCCAATTAAAGTTATACAAGAGACATAAAGACATTCCATCAAAGACATTCCAGCAAAAACATAAGGAGAGGAGAGGTAAACTATTTCACACACCACCTATCAAGGAGAGAAATTAAGGCCTTCACTACATATCAGCATACAGCTATGAGAACAGCCCAAAGAAAACTGGAAAATAGACAACACAAATGCTGGCCTAGATGCTAAGAAACTAGGAAACTAGACTTGTACTGCCAATGGGAATGTAGCTCTCCTAGCTGCATAACAGCTCGGTAGTTTCTTAAAAACTCAGTAACATAGGGCTGGAAAGATTGTTCAATGGTTCAGAGTGTTGGCTGCTTTCCAGGTTTAATTCCGAGCACACACACTGGCAGTTCACAACTGTCTGGAACTCCAGTTCCAGGGGATTCAACACACTCATATAGACGTGCATACAGACAAATCACCAATGCACATAAAAGAAATCATTTTTTAAAAATTAGTCTTTTTAGGATGCTGTCACAGGATAAACCAAGCACAGTGGCCTCAACAGATGAAATTCATTTCCACAGCTCTGAGGGCCAGAAGTGTAAGATTCAGTGGTTTGGGGATCTGCTGAGAGCCCATTTTATGGCTTACACTTGGTGCCTTCCAGCTGTAATCCTCATGTGGTACAAGAGGGTATTATCCAGACCTTTTATATAAGGTTGCCATCATCTGCCTCATGATCAAATCACCTCCCAAACACCTCACCTTCTGACTCCATCACATAAAAGATTAGGTTTTGACACAAGAATTTGAAGACAAGGGACCTGAACATTCAGCTTGCCACATCAAGAATATACTTTTCACATGGACTAGTGATTATATCCTTGGGCGTGTGCTACAGGAAAATGTACATAAAAGCTTATATATGATTCTTCATAGAAATTTTATATGTAAGAATTGAAATCTATAAACACCCTTAAAGTTCTACCATAGGACAGCTAAACAACTGTGGAGTAGTGTTCTGGCTTTATTTCTGTTCGTGTATGTAACAAATGACCAAGACAAAAGGCAACTTAGGGGCAAAAAGGGTTTCTCTTTTAGCTTATAAGTGCAGATCACAGTGCATCTGTACAAGAAGTCAAGGCAGAACTTGAAGTCAGGCCTTCTTGTTCTTACACACAACATTGCCTCCAACCAAGTTTACTTCCTAGCTGAAGAAATATGGCAGAAATCATGGAAGATGCTGCTTGCTGGCTCGCATCAGGTTTATTCTCAGCTAATTTTCTTATACAGTTCAGAACCACCTGCCCAGAGATTGGTGCCGCCCAAAGTGGACTAGATTTCCTACATCAATTAGCTATCCAAAATATACCACAGACACACCCACAGTCCAATCTGATCTAGACAATTCATCAATAGAGATTCTCTTTCCAGATCATTCTAGGTTGTGTCGAGTTAACAATTAAAGCTAACCAAGACAAATACTATTCAGTAATGGAAAGGAACAATAGATATATAATGTGTGAGTCTAAAGGGCATTCTAGTGAGTGAAGAAAGCCAGTCTCAAAGGGTCACATATTGATATGATTCTGTTTGCAAAAAAAAAATAAAAAATATAAAGATAGAAACAGAAAATGATTGCAAGGGACTAGAGACTAAAGAGGAATTTAGTATAATTATAAAGGGGTAAAGTAAGTGTAGATGGACTCCCAAATAACTGTATAGAGACTTATTATTAATTATAAATGCTTGGTCAATAGCTTAGGCTTGTTGCTAGCTAGCTCTTACATCGTAACTCAACACATATTTCTTTCCTACCACATGGCAGTATCTTTTTTAGCACAGCATGTTCTTCTCCTGCTTCCTTTGCATCTGGATGGTGACTTCACCTTTCTTCATCCCTGTGCTCTCTTTTTGTCCACAAGTCCTGCCTAACCTCTACCTGTCTAGCTATTGGTCATTTAGACCTTTATTAAACCAATGAGAGTAACAAATATTCACAGCTCATAAAAAAATTGTTCCACAGCATTTCCCCCATTTTGTCTAATTAAAAAGGAAGGTCGTAGCTTTAACATAGTAAAACTATATACAATAATAATAATAAGAGTTATCAAGTAAGAATTAGAGGTACAATATCCAGTCCACTTGTATTTAGAAAATTCAGAGAAAATACTCCATTATCTATCTTATCTTTGTGAGTCTAAAGTTTTTTACCTAATTTACTTTTTATCATAACTAAGGAAAACTAAAAGTTTAACTATTTAGTCTTTAACTCCATCAAAGACTCCAGAAACATGTACTATTACCTAATGACAGGGACATCTGGCTGCTTTGACAGTTATCCAAAGTTCCTCAGCAATATTGGGGCTTCCATCTTGGCCTACAGGCCTAGTATATATCTGATAGACATTTATGAGAAGCAGGGAATTTTGAAGGACTGTCCTACCTTGTCTTGGCAAAGTTTGGCAGTTGCTTTCTTTTGCATTCTAATCATCCAGTTTGGAAAGTACACTGTCAGCAATTGAGGCAAGGGCAGTTTCTTTGTCCAGTGGCTAGCTTTTACAAGGAAAGAAAACTCCATATGATGTTTCTTTGATGCCCATCATCTTCTCTGAAGTAAATTGGTGCTGCCAGGATAAGATGTGTCTCACTATCATGAAAAGTCTCAGGTTATTAAACATCTTTAATGACACTTTAATGACATTCTGTATGTCTTTGAAGTGTTCAAAGACCATCTGTCTACCTAAATATATCTGCTTAACCTTGAAAACATAGTTAATATAACAAGTTTGATTATTATAGATGACTACTAACCTGTATTTCTTAATTATACATATCATTTCAAAATGGTCTGCATAAGCACAATACCCCAAATAAGAGTAGAAACATACATACAGTATAACAGAAATAAGTTTAAATTTGAATCAACAGAAATCCATAACAATGTAAAATATTTTGAGAGTAATAGTTGTTTTTTGAATTAAAGTAGATTCAAAGTAGGGAAAAAAAAACCTTTATCTCATCATTTCTATACTGTATCACCCTTTTTCCTTTAGATAGAGATCTTTGTTTAGTTTGTTTCCTGACCATGACCAATAACAACTTGTAACCAAACCCCTTAAATGATGACAAACATCCATAACCCATCTTTAGGGAATGTGGGCATTGTTTTCTCTAGATTGCTTCCTGTTGTCTGGGGTGCCGGCATCTTTAGGGGACACTGAGAAAAATCAGAATTATGGTCAAGTCCTCAATGGAGCATGTAACATGATAAAACACACACACACACACACACACACACACACACACACACACACACAGACATATATTTGGGTTCAAAGAAAAGCAAAGAGACCTGGCCATTAGCTCTTACCTCTACCTCAGACTGAAAGGTAATCCTGGCTCCACCAAATCTCAGACTGTAATCCAAGACTGCTATGCTCTCCTCATCGTGACTGGAGAATCCTGAGACTGAATGCCTTCCTATCCTCCATGTGGTTGGAGAATGAATGCCAGCTCTGAGACTTTGCTCCTATCTTATACACCTCCTTAATGTTGGGATTAAAGGTGTGTGATCCCAGGTGTTGGGATCAAAGACTCTTTACTATTATGAAGGTCATGGTGTCTTTGAACTAACAGAGATCTGTCTGCTTCTTAATCCTGAGACCTGGAATTAAAGTTATGTAACACCACTGCCTGATCTCTATAGCTTGAGACTTACTTTGTTTTCTGAATCCTCAGGTACGCTTTAATAAATCATGAATAATAGGAGTAGTTTATGAAGCTGGACCATCTCAACCAGCAGACTTGAAGCTGTTCTGGATGCAGAACTCTGAGGAAACTGCAACAGAGGTGCTCTGAGATGTTGGATCACCTGGGCCATTCATTTTCATTGGTGTCTGATTCCCTTGCTCTGAAAATACATAAACTTTCAAAAGCAACACACATATCTGCATTAATACAAATACAGAGTGTGTGTTGTACCTGTTAGCCAAAGATGATTTTTTTTTTTGTTTTTTGTTTGGGTAGGTAAAATATGCTACATGTTTTGTAGTTTTTCTAGGTTCATTTCTATGCCAGGATTTTCAGGGGATCTTCCTCAATCAAACCTGATTTTCTTCAAGCTTGGATGAATCCACAGCCTTTCATTTTCTGTGGGAACAAAAGCATAACCTCTTCCCCAAAGCAACTTTTTAATGTCTATTGTAGTAAAGATATTTAAAATATATATAAGTTAGTTCAATCCAGCAGCCTTAACGATCCAATGTCTCTCAGCAGCTATTATTTGTTCATCAGCAATCAAAAAATTCAAAGACAGCACAAAAATATACAGGACCAAGACTCCCCATGTATTTCTCATCTTTATGTGACTTTTTCCTTTATATTATTTTATTATTTCTTTAAAGACTTTATTATTTTTAAACTTTTTTCTATGACTGTCTCTTCCAAGCCTATGTACATTTTAAAACATACTATAACCCATTTAGAGTTTTTTTCCATCTAGATTTGTCTTTAATTTTTACCTGTAATCTTTTCTGTTTGCATGAGAAAAGCCTTAAACCCTGGGTGACTTAGCTCATGGCACACTAGCAGGACTCACTCTGGTGGCTCAAGCTCAGAGGTAGCTGGGAGATGTATCTCTGTATCCTGGCAGGTATGAAAGATGAAAGACTAGCTGTTTGTGTGTTTTGTGTGTGTGTGTGTGTGTGTGTGTGTGTGTGTGTGTGTGTGTGTGTGTGTGTGTGTGTGTGTGTGTGTGTGTTTGGAGTCTTTTTAAAAGCATTCTCAGGTCTTATATGGATATAGTTGCCAGACATTAATCACCATTTGTAGACAGGGTTTTCTGTCCTTCCAGCCCAATCCCAAATAACCACAGGGAGACTTCTTATTACTTATGAAGGTTTGGCTGATAGCTCGGGCTTGTTACTAACTAGCAGTTCTTACAAAATTAATTTAACTCCCCCACTTTTTTTAAAATCTATGTACTACCACTGGCTTGGTACCTTTTTTCAGCACAGCAAGTTCATCTTGCTTCTCTCTGTGTCTCCTGGTGACTCTACCCTTCTTCTTCCCAGAGTTCTCTCTGTCTGGCTCTCATGCCAATACATCCTTTTGCTGGCTACTGGTCATTTATCTCTTTATTAAACCATTGAGAGCAACAAATATTCACAATGTACAAAGAGATTGCTCCATAGACATCAGGGACCCCATGTTATCATGGAACACTGTAGCATCTTGACTGTGGTTAAGTATACATAAATCTATATAAACATGGCCATAAACATATGCATACACATACACACACACACACATACACACACACACACACACACACACACACACACACACACGTACTGTATCAATATCAATTCTGTGGTTTTGATGTTATATGATAGGTACCTGGGGGAGGGTACTTGAAATGTTATCTTTATGAGTTGCATATGAATTTATAACTGTCTCAAAATATAGTTAATTTGTAAAGATTTTCTGATCTTATATGTATGAGTGTTTTGCCTGTATATAAGCATGTGTACCAGGTGCCCAAGGAGGCCAGAAGAAGCCATCAGATCTCCAAGAACTGGAGTTACAAATGTTTAGGAGCCATCATGTTGGTGCTGGGAAATGAACCTGGATTCTTTGCAGGAGCCACAGGTGCACTTAACTGCTGAGTGAGTCATCTCTCCAGCTCCATCAAAAATAGTTTTAGAAAATATTGTTTCATTATTCCCAGAGTCCCTAGTTACTAATGAGAACACTGGTCTCCACATGGTGATTCTGTAAGTTTCAGGTTCTCTTCCATTGCACAGATAAAAACTGACAATGCTCCAGCATATGTCTCCATAAAAATGGAATAGTTCTTTAAATATTATAACATAAAGCATGTCACAGGTAGACCACACAATCCTATAGGACAAGCAGTTTTTGAGAGGTCTAATAGGACACTTAAGGAGATGCTCCATAGGCAAGCTGGTAAGTCAAAATCCCCCAAACATAGGTTGTATAATGTTTTATTGACACTAAACTTTCTTAATGCCAATGACAAAGGACAAACAGCTGTGGAAAGACACTGGACTACGGAAAAAAAAAAACTGAACTGAATCAACCAGGGTACTTCAAAGATGTACTGACCTCAGTATGGAAACCCGGACATGTATTACGTTAGGGTAGGGGTTTTACATTTGTTTCCACAGGAGAAGAAAATCTTTAGATACCATCAAAATTGATCAAGATTCAAGTTGATAAAGACAACCCTCTAGACAAGGACGACTGACAGTTATTTACTGAGGTATATCTCATGAACCAAATAAAAGCCTCTCAAAGGAATGGGAAGTGCTTTGTTTTTATCCTCACAGGAAAACCCACCTCCGGAAGTCAAAGAACACTGCATGGGTAGATACTTAAAGGAAAGAAGGTAGCTATAACCATCAAACAAAAGGAACGTGCCATACAGTAAACTTTACAGCTGTCTCTCAAATAATTCTATTTCTCTTCATTTCCTAGTCCCTATTCAATCAAATCAATGCTGGATTTAGAGTTGGATTTGGCTTTCCTCCCCTAAAATCCAAGCATGTTATTTAACAAAATTTTAAAGTTTCTGTGTTATATCAAGAAGCCAATTGATGTAATACAGAATAAATGAAGAATTGGAGGATTATCTTTGTCTTTTCTTGGCTCTTTCTTTCAAGGCCTATACCCTCTCATAATTGTCGTTTTACAATGGTTGCCTTTCCCAATACACATACATGTACAAGCAAACATTTCTCTGATGACACTTATGTTTGAATCCCATACAGCCAATGAAGACCCGCCTGACGACAATCCATGCATGCTCCGGAAAAAGAATTGAGCCATACTTTTCTGACTGCATTGGATTCAACTCACTTTGTTTCGACTGACACTCCGACCAGAGCCTCGAGTACTGACTTCAATCAAGTTGAGGATTTCAACCTAGATCTTCAATCAAGCAAATCCCACCTAACATGGACTGGAGATAACTGATTAGAGACTTTCCCTGTGCTAACATTTTTTTCCACAGGACCCCACAAGGCTACCATCGTCCCATTTCAACAGGAAGTAACTTAGAAGATGCTATGCCCCCACTCCCCATTATCGTTTATTAGGGTAGTGTAAGCCTAGTTAGGAATAACTTTCTTATTGTTTAGAGTTGGGATTGGAAGGAGGTGTTCAAGTTAGACACCCTTTCCACATGACTTTAGGGCTTAGCCAAAATAGACATAGTTAGGATGTGCAATAAGGCATTATTGTATTTTCTTATATTTCACCTTTATGATTGGTAATTTTGGATGTTTTACACTATTAAATTTTAATCCTCTTTTAGACTAAAAGGGGAATTGTAGGGAGACACTGTAGCCCCGCCTCCTAGTAGCCCGGACAGGTGTGTCGGGACACGCCCGTAAGGGCATTGTCAGGGGAGGTCTAAAGGTGACTAGGGGAGGATTTTTAAGGGATGGTGGACACGTGGATAGCCCCTTCTTCCTTCTCTCTGGCCTGGCTGCCTTGCTGCCCCTGGCACACTTTGGCTTGCACTTGGCTGGTGTTTATCTGAATAAAGAAACCTTAGCCTTACAGACTGTGGATCGATCTCTTCACTGTATAGCCTTAGCTATCCTAGACATCACTCTGTAGACCAGACTGGCCTTGAACTCAACAGATATCTGCCTGCTTCTGCCTCCCAAGTTCTGGGATCAAAAGGGAGCACTACCACTACCCAGTTGTTTCTAAGGCAAAACCTTTGTCTTTAGTTTTTGGGAGTTTGCTTGTGGTATGTGTGAGTACAGTTATGAACTGACTCCCTTTGGGCTTTTCTAAGTGTATTGCATTTATAAGTGTAAGTTGATTACCACATTTAGTACGTTCAGAGCTGTAGATTATTCAAACACTTTTCTGTTGCCTACTTTTTGTACCCTCTTTCCAGGGCTTTGGTTCTAGAAACACATTTTCTGTCCTGGGCTCATTCTTTGTGAGACACCTGTGTTTTCCCACAATTCTCACCTGGGACCAACTCCCATTCACTCTCTTTCACTGCATTATTCCTTGAGTCTCCAAACATAGCTAGGAAATGATCAAAATGGAATTTCCTGGGTATCTGATTCTTGTTCTGGGCTTCTCTTACTTTCAGATTGATCTCTTATAAAAAAACATATATGTCCCCAGAAATAGCCAATCTAGGCAGATCCTTCAAGGTCTTGCATATTTCCACAAGAATGACACACCCACCCTGGGCTGTTGCCCTTTGGGACATAGCCTCTCCAGGAGGACTCTGGTGCTTCACCACTGCCCCCTTTCCTATCTCCAAACCATGCTCCTTTCCCAACCAAACCCTGCTTTGCTTCCCTAGGAGCTTGTCACTCCCTCGAGGATCTCCCTGCCCCCAAAAAATCTTCCCACCACCAAATCTGGGTCTCTCTGCAAGATCCTGTAGCCCCTCTACTGAACCACTCTCTTGGCTTCTTTAGACCACAAGTATTCTCTCTGAGCATCAGTTCTCTTTCACGGACTCCATTCCCTTCATGCATTTTCTAAGTTTTTAACAAACTGTAACACTCACTCAGGACTTTCAAGATCTGAGTGTATTTTCACATGTATGTGCACTCGGGAACACACACACACACACACACACACACACACACACACACACACACACACACACTGTCATGTGCAATGTGTGAGACACCTGTCCCCAGCTGGTGGTGCTATTTGGGGAGCTTCTGGGACTGTCAAGAGGTGGGAACTGACTGGCTGAGACAGGTTTTTGAAGCTTATGGCCCAGACACAGGTTTCTCCATTCTCTCCATTTCTCTCTCCTTCCCTCCCTTCCTCCAGCTCTTTGTCTTTCTCCCTCTTTTTCTATCTTCGTCCTCCCCCCACTCTTTTCTCCCTCCCTTCCTCCCCCATTCCTTTCCCTCTCTCTTCCCTCTCCTATCCGCTGCACCGTGAACGCCTTCTCTTCCACATGTTCCAACCTCCAGTAACTGCACCCTTCCTCACCCATCACGATGGACTGGACACTCAGAAACCATGAGCCCAAATGAACCTTTCCTCCCATAGGAAGTTTGTCTCAGGCGTTTTTGGGAACAGTGAGAGTAACCAATACAAAGATGACTGTCTTTTAGATTTACCTCACTCTTGTGTGTACTCCTGGTGGCTCAGTAGTATCCCAGTGCTGATAGGCACAGCATGTTCTTTACCTATTCCTGGTGAATTTTGAGTTTTTTTTTTCTTCCTTGGGCTTTTTGTTAATTCACCATCCTTTAGTGTTTTGTCTGAAGTCATCTGTCTTCAGAATAGCTCACTTTTCTTCCATATGGCCCAGAACAATAGGCCTTTAGCCTCGCACCTCCATTTTCTGGGGCCAGAGGAGAACCTATATACTTTCTGATGTCAGGCGGTCACGTCAAGCTGTGTGTCAAAATAAATGAGAAGTGGGCATCAGTATGGAATCAAGCAATTGCAGGTTTGCAGGGGGCATGGCAGGAGGGGCAGGAAAGCCTCAACCAATCTCAGGGTGAGGTTCTGTGGACTCACTGGCTTTTGTGTGAAGGAAACAGGCCACACCAGACAGCCCAGGCTAGAGCTCCCTGGAGAGCTGGAGCCTCTGGGCTGGGCTTGGGTTCCCTGGCCTCCTGCCCAGTGTCGTGAGGCAACCCAAATGAGAGCCCAAGAGAGCCAAGAGCCACAGGGCTGTTTTTCTAAGATTTAAAGGGGATTATGTCATCCACCCAGCCCTTGTTTGCCCAAGGGAAGAACCTCAAGTCTCCTCCCTCAGGACCCTCAGATAGATCTTTCTACTGTCAGTGTGGTGGAAGAGAGAACAGAGCTGCAGGCAGCTAGAGCAGCTGGGATGGCTCCTGGCAGAGGCCTGAGGGGTAGATGACTGCACCTGATGACCAAATGAGATTGCAGTTTGTGGGCCACCATGCTGACTGTTTACATACGCATAATCAGAGGGAAGGGGAAAGATTTGGGGGAGAAACACCAGAGAAAAACCCAAGAAGCCACAAGACCAAGACGAGCATCAGCGATCTGGTAATGACTGGGTGTGCTGTGAGGCTGCTGTTTATCCCAGACAGAGCTGGTGCTTTCCTGAGATCTGGTGACAATTTGGGGCACATATATTTAGGGGGAAGGGCAAGTCCTGGGAAGAGGTTTTGAGTCAGGAGACCTGGGATTGAAACCCAGCCATGTGGTCCACAGCTTTTCAGATCTGAGGCAACTAGCTAGCTACCCACTCAGCCTGCAGAGTCCCTGCCTGGAGGAGCAAGCCAGCCAGCCCCACTGCACAGGCATGCCTGGGCATATGGTTTTGGAGGCCCAGGCTCACTAAGTCTCTGGCTGGACATCACAGTGAACCTATCAGTACATTATCTGGTTACCCCCCAACACCTGTGAGATCTCCCCCAACTGAAAGCATAGTCTGTTTTTGCTTCTAGACTCTTACTGTCAGAGCAAAGTCCTGTTAGAGTCAATCCTCACCCAGCTTCTCCTATTACAAGTGTTTCTGAACAACTTATTATGAACCACAAAGTCCTATCTTGGGAAAGAACCACTGGATCTGATATCCTAAGACCACACTTTTTAGGGTTGTCCATAGGAGATAAAGGGGCAATAACATCCAGACGGGTAATTCCAACATAGAATGTGATCATCTGGCCTCTCGAAGATTCTTTACGAGATATAGTGAGAATAGAAGATTCACATCAAAGAAAGCAAAGCAAGATGTAGGTAATCGACCATTCTGCTGGTGGCTGTGTATGGCCTAACCTTCCTGGACTATGTCCTCCACACAGGGTCCCTGCATCTGAAATGATTCAGCCAGGGCCACAATGAGGTATTTGTGAACAAATGTAACAAAAATCTAGTGCAGTGACCCTCAACCTTCCTAATGCTGCGACCCTTTAATACAGTTCCTCATGTTGTGGTGACCCCCGACCATAAAATTATTTTTGTTACTACTTCATAACTGTAATGTTGCTACTGTTATGAATCGTAATGTAAATATCTGTGTTTCCATTGGTCTTAGTTGAACCCTGGGAAGGGTCATTCAACCCACAAAGGGGTGGTAACTCACAGGTTGAGAATCAGTGATCTAAAGGGACATTATGGTGACAAAGACACTGAGATTTCAAAGAACATATGTGACAAAATTTGTGATTTCCGAACCCATGTTTTATTTTACTTTATTGTGTGTGTCTGTGTGCATTCAGGTACACATTTGTGTGTGAGCATGCATGGCACATGTGTGCATGCCCATGTAAAGGTAAGAGAAAAACTTTGGGTGTCACTACTCAATACTATCCATCTTGTGGGGGTTTTTGGTTTGTTTTTAATTAATTTTTTTTACTTTTCTATATGTGTACTGTATTTATATCATTTACCCCCCAACCTTCTCCTTTCAACCCCTTATATATATATATATATATATAGAGAGAGAGAGAGAGAGAGAGAGCCTGCAGAGCCCCTTTAGCATTACTCATATATATAAGTTTTTAGGGCTGACCACTGGACAACCTATCAGGAGGCTCATCCCTGAGGAAGAGCGAGTCTCCCCTTGCCAGCCACTAATTGTCTGTACCTCTTCATCTAGGGGTAAGATAGGATTTCTTACTGGCCTGGAGCTTGCTCAGTAGGCAAGGCTTGCTAGCCAGCCAACAAGTCCTAGGAACCATGGGTCTCCACCTCCCCGGCACTGAGACAACAGATATGTGCCATCATGTCTGGCTCCTTTGAACTCATGCCTTAATGCCTTCCCAGAAAGCACTTCACTGACACAGCTATCTCCTTAGCTTATTAACTTACACAGTATTTAAATTTTTTGTGAATCTATAGCATGAGTTAAATAAATACTTGATTCTTCTCTCTATACTCCTATTAGATGGCCAAAATTCCACTTTACACATTTTCTCATGAAAAACTCATGTATACAATTATCCTAAAATCAGCAAGATGACACCTCTAATCTAGAAATAGAAAGCTCCCAGGATATCTAATTAGACCCATCCCATGCTCTCTGGAGCCCTCTGGAAGCTGTTGCTGCACTGTGAGAGGACCACTAAACACAAGGTGAACCGAGTGAGCTGTTGTCAGAGACTGTGATGCACCAGGCTTCAGTACAAACCCCTCCCTTGTCATCAGTCACTCTGACGTGTCTCTATAATCACATCCTGTGGTGGCCTGGAGGCAGGTATCAGACAGGTTGTGGGGCAAAACATGAAAGTGACTTACTGACAGGTTTGTGACTACCTGGCTTTGAGATGGGCTGTCAGACAGGTACCAGAAAGAAACCGTGGCGCCAGCATGCAGATGTGTGCTGGAAAAGGAAAGGATGGCAGAGTGGTTGTGCCCACAGCACCCAGAAGCAAAGGCTGGCAAGCCTGCATTTTAATTATTTTCTCTCCTCTTCTGTCTGCTTGTTCCCTATGAATTCAGGCAGCCATGGTTAGTGGAATTCAGCCTCCTCTCTATCATTTCACATTTCCCCCTGAAAATTGGCTTTCTCTTAGTTGTGGAGTTCCTGTTGGAAGGGGAAGGAGGACACTGGAGGTGGGAGATGTGCACTGCTTCTTTATTTTCAAAATAAAGAACATCAGTCAAATTGGCTTCCCTAGTGAGGCCATCACTGCTGGCACATTTTCTGATCAGGGAGGACAGTAAGAGTCATCTCGAGTTATATCTCACTGACCACCAGATCCTATACCCCACAGATACAGATGTGTATTCCAGGGAATATTTCTGATTCCTTTTTCTTCTAAGGTTGGCTTTCATCAGCAATTACTAGGAATAGTCTGGCTACCAGCATCAGACACAGCCAGGCACGCAGTGAATGGTGTTCGGGTCATGAGGTAGAGTACTGGCATGGTGCAGGGTTAACTCAAGAGGCCATGAAGGCAACAGTGATGGACCTAGCAAGATCTGAACATTTCTTCTCTTGATGTTCCTGCAGCCCAGAGCTCCCGTCAATGGTCCTAGTACCTACATCATCAGTGTTAAGCATCAAGATGGGCCTCAATGTCCAGGCTAAATCTTGAAGTCTTGGTGCATAGCAATTTGAAGTGCAGAAATGGGCAGGAGTAACATCATAAGCCATAGACAGTTTCCTGGAAGCTACTAAAGACAGACACTTCTCTGTCAAAGCAGGGCTCCTGTAGGGAATCACAAGGCTGGCTAAGGTGGGTCCTTTCTTTTCCATCCATGCTTGGATCTAGAGTCTGTGCTAACAGTGAAGCCACAGCTCTGCTGGAGCAGAGCATCCTGAGGCTAAAACTGAAACAACAACAGAAACAGTGTGAAAGCCCCTTGTTGAACCACAGCCCTGGCCTGGTGTCATTTTTGAGAATATACTTCTCTATTCTGCAAATGGTTTACTGTTTTCTTTATGGTCCAGCTATTTATGTGCCCTGAGAACTCTCTAGCAACTCCTTTACCGAGAAATGAACTGGCTCTTCCGGGACCATACCTCTTGTGTTTGTCATATCTGGAAGGAACCAGACTCTGGAGCTTCCAGAAAAATCAACATTCCAGATGGTCTTTGTGGACCAATGTGTCTTGTGGTAGCAAGTGGCTGAACACTCCAACCAAATGCACTAACTGTGAAAACGTCACATCTAAACCTTGGAGAACAGCCCAAACCTATCCCTTGATAGTTTCTCATCTTTCCCCCTGTACCACAGCTGGGCTCTGAGAATGGAGGTCCCACCCTGCAGCTAAGATCTAGAGGTTGGGGGAAGGCCATTAGGTAGATTCACTTACCTTTCAGGCCTGCCCTTAGAGGTGGAACATGGGAACTCAGACTGTAGAACAATCTCTTTTCTACTTCCGATTAGAAGAATCCAAAGAGTTCCTCATCCAAACCTCATATCATATTTTATATGATGTGCTATCATCAACTCATCTATGCACCCTTTCTGGGTCTATTTGATGAAAGGGCATCCATGTAATTGAAGCCTGGTGTTTTGGAATAGTGGAGTAAAGAAAGCTTTGGGGTCACTCAGATGGAGCTGTGGCTCTATTGGCCATGAGAAGCCACCATCTGCTCACCAAGTCTGTTTCTTCATCTTTTAAATGGGTTGTTGACGATGGAGGTGACATGAACAAATGCTGAGCATCAATGAGTGGTAGCCATTGGTGATGGCAGGATTTGCCATCATCACTATGGTTGTCATTGTCATCACCAGTAAACATTAAAGATCTTTAGAAAATAACCCCTGAGCTAGAAATTAACTTCCAGCAATCCCTTCAGAGCCAACATAATGCCACATCTAATTCCTTCCGATTCTAACTCTGCTATCTAGAAACTTGTGCTGTACACATTTGCAAGCAAACACTGAAGCCAATCCATTGTGTGTGGATGTGCACATTACCTGTACCAGGCCTCCTGCAGAAAAGGAAACCAGCTTCTTCCT